ATTCTTCTTCACCATCTTTTCTACCTTCTGTATTATTTCCCAATTCTCTATTATACTTTTCATTTCTATAAAAGTTGACTTTTTTTACGCAAGTCGTCAAAGAAATTAATTTGTAAAGTTTTCATAAAAAAAAAAAACCGTATATATATATATATATTTAAATAAATAATCATGTCTGTTGACTCGATAAAGTTGAAAGAATTAGAGGATTATCGAACTTTGACTGAATCGGTAAGTTTTCAAAATAATAATAATATTCTTTCTCTACATCAACAAAACAATCATTATTCACACTTTTAATAAATTTTATAGCTTCGTGAACAACTTGAACGTGTCCATAAAGAAAATTCATTATTGATAGATGATAATAATCTTGTCCGTAGGAAAATCACTTTTATTAAACAAGAACTTACTAACAGTCATAATGAATATTCACGTCTTGAAAATGATCTTTATCAGAGTACTCAGGAAACTGAACGTCTGAAAAAAGAAAATGCGATGTTTTTAAAATATAAACGTGAAATTGAAAAGAAATTACGTGAAGAGGTAAGTAAATTTGAGATATATTATAAAAATATTATTTGATTATTGGATATTATCAAAAAAATAGAATATTTAATTTATTTAAATCCACTCATTATTAACACCTTTTTAATTTTTATTATAGACGCAAATTTATGAAAAAGAAAGATTGATTTGGCATGAACGTGAATCAGAATTACTTGATCAAGCCAAAGCACTTCAAGAAACTATAAATGTTCTCGCTCAACAAAGCGAACAGTCATCGCAAAAAAAAAGTGATTCTTCTCCAATCCCTTATGAAACATTATCAGCTAGTCACTACTCTAATGCTCGTGAACTTAAAAATGCTCAAAGACAAATCAAGGAATTAGAGCACAAAATTAGCGAATTGGATTCTGTTCTAGTCAAAACTAAACAAACTTCCACCGAATCTATTGAGCTTAATAAAAATCATGTTCGTAGAATTCAACAATTGGAAAATGAAATCTCTCAAATTAAATATATGAATAATACCTTGATGGAAGATAATGAAAGCTATCAATTATTGTTACACGAGAAAACAATCAAAGGTGATTTCATCATGAACCCAATCTTGCAGGTAAAATCAATTAATGGTAATGTTTATTGAATCTCATATATTGAATATATATTTAACGTTTATGTATATGTTTTTTTATAGTTGGAGAATTTTGATTTTGACAATATGAAATATACCGATAAAGCAGAAAAGGTGACCGACAATATAGCTAAAGATGATGATAAAGATTCTCAGAAATCAAGAGATTCTCCTAAATCAGAAGATTCTTCGGTTAAAAATAAATTAATAAATCATACTGATCTTTCTGCTGAATTAGAACGTGCTAAGGCACTCACCGTGTCATTACAAGGTGAAAATGTATATAAAGAAAGCGACCATACCATAATAGAAAGTAAGTGTTATGATAATTATTATTAGCATAAATAATACACGTGATAATAATAATAATATTTTCTAAATTTTTTAGAGTTTCAAGATGAAATCAAAACGCTTAGAGATGCAAATAAATCAATGCAACTCTACATTCAAAAAATTCTCAATCGTATTATGGAAGCAAAAGGTTTCGAGGAAATATTATCATCAGATTGGTCTGCTGGATCATTAGGCTTTGGTGGTGATCAAGATGAAAAATACAATAATGATGATGGCAAGAGAACAGAAAGGCGTAAAAATTTGTCCGGACTTCATTTCCGTAGTATTTCTCAACCACCTAATAAAACTCACAAAATTCAAATTCTAACAGAAGAGCCAGAGTCTTTACCTGATAATTATAATAGTAATCATAAAGAATTGATTTTAACCAAGGGATTATCGGTGCCCAAACGAACTCAAAGAAGTAAATCTATCTCTGATGCTAAACATAACACTCTCAATACTAGCAATAACAGTAAACGATTTAGTTTCTTGGAATGGGTTGGAGGCAATAAAGAAACTAGTAAAAAAGATGATCCTTACATGAGACAATTAACGCTTTTAAAAGAAAAAAATTAAAAATGTAACTTTTCTTTTTTTACATATATTTTGATATATAAAATTTATGATTTGTATATTTTTTTTTTTTTAAATAAAAATTTTTAAAATTATATTGCATTACGTATAAACTGGGGCGGGTTGTTATTATTATATCAGATATATATTATACAAATTTACCACTTTGTATCACCAAAATTATTAGTGACTTTGTTGCCCAATGATCACACATTAATATTTAATGTTAATATTGAGAACAATTTCTTTATATTTATTTCATTTTTTATAATGGACGTTGAAATGTCTGAACAAGAGCCTATTGAACCAATTAATATCAATGATAACATCGCTCCAAAAAATAATAGTACTGGATCACCAAAATCTGTTGTTATAGAAGAGAACGAACAACAACTACAAATTAAAATGGAGACAACTGTCGAAGATTCAAAGGTAGCGACAAGCACCACGACCACTACCACTGTAGTAGATGCTGCTACCGCCGCCGCCGCTGGAGCTGAAATAGTAACTACCGAGACAGCCATTCCTGGTACAGAACAAACTACTATTATGAATGATGAGGAAGAAAAAAACAGGCTTGAGGAGGAAGCTCGCAAATTCCTATCTTTACAAGCACAAGAAATAGTAATACCATCATATGCTGCTTGGTTTGATATGGCGAAAATTCATAATATCGAAAAAAAATCTTTACCAGAATTTTTTAATAAAAAAAACAAATCTAAAAATCCAACTGTTTATAAAGAATATAGAGATTTTATAATCAATGCATATCGACTTAATCCTTCAGAATATCTAACCGTCACTGCTTGTCGTAGAAATTTGGCCGGTGATGTCTGTGCAATTATTCGTGTACATGCTTTTCTTGAACAATGGGGATTAATAAATTATCAAGTAGGAATTTTTTTTAATAAATCACGTTTATGTGCATTAATAATTTAATAATAATAATAATAATAAATTATAGGTAGATCAAGATACACGACCATCATCTGTTGCGCCTCCTTTCACGGGACATTTTGTTATTACTGCAGATGCACCAAGAGGTCTTCAACCATATCTACCAAAAGGTTCTGTTGCTGTTTCAAATACGAATCAATCTAACCTTAGTAATAATAACAATAATAACAACAACGGTATTGCTACATCATCAAAAACTGACACTGTTAATGTAAATCCAAAGGGTGATTCCTCATTTGGAATTCGCCAAAATGTATATCAAACAAATAACACTAGTAATAATAATGACACCACAACAACTTCAAATACTGAAAATGATGAAAGTGAAAGTAATAACAACAATAATAGCAAGAGCAGTAACAATAATAGTGAGTCAACAGGAGGAAAAAAACAATATAATTGTTTTACATGTAAGGTTGATTGTACTCAATCTCGTTATCATAGTTTAAAGAATGGAAAATTAGATCTGTGTCTCAATTGTTATTCATCTGGCCATTATCCCACTTCAATGCATAGTGGTGATTTCTTAAAAATGGATGAAGCACAATTCAAACATGCTCAGGATGAAGAATGGACAGAACAAGAAACTTTAGCACTTTTGGAAGGTATTGAATTATATGAGGATGATTGGCACAAGATTGCTGAACATGTGGGTACTCGTACCAGAGATCAGTGTATTCTGCACTTTTTAGAATTCCCTATTGAAGATCCATTAAATGGAGCAAAAATGTCAAAACTGGGGCCACTTCAGTATCAAAGGATGTCTTTCAGTCAAGCAGATAATCCAGTGTTGTCAGTTGTTGCATACTTGGCATCTATTGTGAGTCCTAATGTTGCAGCAGCAGCAGCTAAATCAGCAATCAAAGAATTACCGTCACCATTACCATCATCATCATCTGCCGTTGCTGCCAAAAATAATAATAATTCAGAAACTAATCCAAAGGAATCTAATGAATCTAATGATGTTAATCATGATACACAAACCATCGAAGAAGGAAGAATTGGTGACATTGTTGATGGAGAAATTAAAGTGAAAAATGAAGATGCAATGGACACAGAAGTGGCAACTGAACCAAAGCAAGATTCAACATCACAGAATATAGATGAGACTTCTTCATCATCATCACCTTCACCAATAGATATTGCAAATTCCAAATCAAAATTATTGGATAGAGCAACAGCAACAGCAATGGGTGCAGCAGCAGCTAAAGCCAAGGTTCTGGCAGATTATGAGGATCGAGAGATACAGAGACTTGTTAATAAAGTTATTAAAAATCAATTGAAAAAACTTGAACTCAAACTTCAACAATTTGACGAATTAGAAAATGTTATTGAGAATGAAAGGAAGGAAATAGAGAAACAACGTCAATTGTTATATCTTGAACGCTTAACTCTTAAAAAGAATAGTTTAATTATACAAAAACAATTAAAAGGAGGTGGTGGAGGTAGTATTGGTGTCAATAATATTACTAACAATAACAGTGGTAGTAGTAGTAGTAGTAGTAATAATAATAATAATAATAATAATAGATTAGTATCTACAATTGAATATCAACAAAGACAGCAACAACAATTACAACAATCACAAATAGGACCATTAAGTAAAGAGGAAAGTAAAATTGGTGAACTTTAGATTAACAGATTCCAAATAAAAAAATATTCAATTAATCCAGAACATTGAAATACACAATTTATGTGTTTTATTTTTGTATATAAATAATGTATGTAGGGTTATGATAGAATTTTTTTCATAAATTTTTCATTTTATCCAATAATTAAAGAACTTCTTTTGCCTCAACCCAACCAATCAGTGTTATACCATATAATAAGTGACAATAACTAAAAAATATATTATTCCAAGAAAAAGACTAGTTTCACTCTCACTATTTATATATATAACCCATCTCTTTTATTAGAGAATGAACTGTATTTTTATAAAAATGAATTTGACGATATAAATGAACCTAGTTCGTTTCACCGAGACGGAAATTGAGGATTGCTAAAGCTATCGGGATTAAAACCCAAGACCCTTACCGTTTTATTGCTTTTGATGGGTATGTATGAGGAGAGTCATTAAGCAATGTAAAACCATTCTGACATGTCATAAAAAAACCTTTTGGTATGTCATAAAGTCTTGTTTAAACCAGGATGCAAAAAAGAAAATATGAACTTCTGAACTCAACTACCTAATAAGCAAAAACCCGAACCAGAAAGCTTATTAACTAAAAACTTAATCACAATCTCTTTCAGGAATTAGTGAAGAATGTTAATTCTTATTATACCCAAGAACTCAACTAATTACACTACTTACTCTCTCCTGCTAATTAGGATAACTTTTTTTAATAAAAAGTAATCAATTTAATACCAGCCCTAGACATACCAATAATTTGGCCACGAGTTTCTTTGCTCAATTCTTTTTTTGGGATTTAGGTTTTCATTTCCATCTTTAAAAAATTATGACAGCGTAATTCCTCGCTCAATGAAATTTACAGCAAATGACTCGGGAATATACTGTACTGTGAAATTTCAAATTTTTTGGAGGTGAATGTAGCTATTTTTTGTTGACGCCAATGATTACGCTCGATGAATAATAACGTTGTTAAAGTTGTTGGTTCTTTATTAACTCTGCGAGTAAGCTAATAATTAACATTGCTATTGTTTAATAACAAACTATTTAATCGCGATTTTGCAATACTGTTTCCATTTATACTATTATTATGGAAGATGGTCCACTTGTCACAATCCGTCAACCAATAATACATCTATCTAATGGAACTTCAGAATCTGCAATAATTAATTCACCTTTAGCTCATGCCCTGTTCGACTTGGACAGTGACAATATCAAATTCACCACATTCTGTACAAATTTGTGAATGTCACTGACAGCGTAACTTCTTCCTAACCGTAGTGCGTTCTCGAACCAGTTTTGACACCTTCCATTTGTTTGTCCTCATCTTTCCCCATATCAATCAAATTCATGGTTGGAAGATGATCAAGCTATATATGGGATGATAGATTGAGGAAGCATTTGGTAGGAATTATCATATCCATAGTTCCTACGTTGTTTTATAATAATTATTATTTTTAATGTAAATCTTAATAGGTATATTAAACAATTTCCAAGATTGTGGACAATGAAAATATTAGAGGTTGTACTTTCTGAATATTCAATCAATTAATTTTAATATTCGGATAATCATTAAATTTATTTAATCATTTTACATTCTATCAAAATTATCAATATTTTTTTTCAAAAAAAAAAAAAAAAATCTTTTCAAATAAAAGTGGATCAAATTTTGTTCTTCTTGAGGTCATCATATAAGTGTGTAATATAATTAGATGTAGATTCACTGCCACATACTACAACATTACAAGGAACAATAATATCAAAAACTTCAGAGACATTAACTTGACAAATAACTCCTTTAGATTTTTCTCCATCTTTTACAATTTCAGTTTCTTCCATCAAGTTCCATATCCAATTTGACTTCTTAAAACCACCCTTTACCTTTCTTTTCTTCAAAATATGAGTAGCAGAAAGCTCCTCCCTTCTCTATTATAGTGACTGAAGGCTCTTCTTCCATTTTAAATTTAATTTATTAGATGGATTAAATGTTAAGAGAATTTATTTCAATTCAGTTACACAATTTGATTATCACTTAATTCATTCATTAATATTTGGTCAATCAATCAATGAAAAAATCAAATATCCGATTAACCAAATACTCACTGAATATTCACTGAATATTATTCATTAGGTGCAACCTCTAGAAAAAAATGATGCCTAGAATTATGATTTTTATACTCTGGCGTCGGCAGATTGGTTGGTTAGGATATATTATACCATCCATCAATAAATTAAATATCACATGTGGTACTTCAACATCTAATCCTTGGGTTTCTTTTATTAATTTACTTCATTACTATTTATCTCCTAGTCTATATAGTAATAGGATTTTTTAACCCTTCCCCTATTCTTCATATTATTTAATGTCGCATTAAAATATATATCAATTTTTGATATTGATCATTAGTTTGATGATGATGTCGGTGTCGTTCAACCTTAAACTCCAATATACGCTTTTCAATTGCTAGTTCACATTCATATGCCGATTCCTTTTGATATTCTAGTTCAGATCTAATTCAAATACATCATCATCATCATCATCATCATCATCATCATCATCATCATCATCATCATCATCATCATCATCATCATCATCATCAAACAAAAAAATATAGATGTATATATATATATACCTAAGATTTAGCCTTTCTTTTTCTGGAAGGCGAATTACCTAACCAATCTTTTACAATAACAGTGGCATAAATATAACATATTGTTGATCAACAAATAATATCATCATAATGACTGGTTTTTAGAAAAGAAAAAATACATTCATTGAAAATTTTAGGTAAAGGTAAAAAATTAAATGCGTTATTAATATCTTTATGTTATTTATTTTTAACGCTTTTTTTTGACGCGCGAATTTTAAGGTGTGAAACAAAGACAAAAAAAGGTTTTCAGTAAAATGGAGACTTTTAAAAAACAAAGATTTTCATTAACAATAGATTTCTAGGTTCTTTTTTTTCCTTTATTATCACAAGAATGGTAATAACTTTTTTGTTTAGATTTAAAAATAATATTAATATTAAATATTTGTTATTATTGAAAATAGACTTATTCTAAATAATATGAATGGTCAGCAATCCCTTCACAAAAATATCAAGACTGAAAGGATCGAATTCATTTGAATAGCTCTGAACTAGAATATCAAAAGAAATTGGCATGTGCATATGGACTAGCAATTGAAAAGTGCATATTGGTGTTTAAGGTTGAACAACACCAACATCATCACCAAACTAATGATCAATATCAAAAAATTGATTAAAAAACGTATAATATCAGCGAACCCCGAATTGGTTCTTGATGCACCAAGAATGATTAATGACTATTATTTAAATTTATTGGATTGGAGTAATAAAAATATGGTAGCAGTTGGATTGGATAAAAATGTTTATCGGTGGGTAATTAGGGTTCGATTCTGGAGAGGGAGCCTGAGAAATGGCAATCACATCCAAGGAAGGCAGCAGGCGTGCAAATTACCCAATCCCGATACAGGGTAAAGGCATTTGCTAATACTAGTAGTGGTGCTAGAATTATTGATAATAAGATTTCTAGTCTTTCTTGGTCTGAAGATGGTGATCATCTTGCCGTGGGATTGAATGACGGAATACTCAAATATGGGATATTTTGAGTGGTCATACTACTTGTGTAGGTGTTATAACATGGAATAAACAAATTATTGCTTCAGGATCTAGGGATGAAGCATGATGTTAGACTTGCACGACATAAATTTGCAGAATTACATGACAATACTAGTGAAGTTTGTGGTTTGAAATGGAGGAGTGATGATGAACAATTGGCTAGTGGAGGTAATAATGACAACAAAGTTAATATTTGGGATGCAAAATCAAGCATTCCAAAATTTATTAAAACCGACCATAAAGATTCTGTCAAGGTAAATATATATATATTAATATGATAATATTAAATAATTTGATTTATAGATATGTGTGTGTATTCATCAATATATATATATAAGCACACTATAATATAAATAAAGGCTATTGCATGGTGCCTTTGGCAAAGAATTTTGCTTGCAACAGGTGAAGGAGCAGCAGATCAACAAATTTATTTCTTGAATACAGATGCATCAGTACAACTGAAATCGATTAATACTTAATCACAAGTTACATCAATTGTTTGGTCAAATCACTACAAGGAGGTATTATCAATTCATGAGTATCCAAGTTTTCGATTTATAATCTGGAAATATCCTTCACTAAAGAAAATTATTGATGTTAAGGATGCACATGAGAATCGTATTTTACAATCAGCTTTGAGTCCTGAAGGAGAAATTGTAGCAACTGTGGCAGGTGATGATTGTTTGAAGTTTTTGCATATATTTCAAAAACCAAGAATGGTGGCACTGGCAATGATGATTATGGTGATGATTATGATAAAAATAATTTGAATTTAATTAGATAATTAATTAATTTAAATATATAAAAATTTCAAGTATGAATATCCAGGATGGTTACTAAATCAAATCATTTCATTTTAAAGGAGTAAATATAGATTGTTGACTAATTTGTGTTAAAAAAAAATATTGAAAATTATAGAAATTGGAGACTAATATAAATGCAATATAAGTATACTGTATGTACTATATGTATTAATTTATGAAAAATTAATAGTATCAAACTATAATAATTACAGGGGAATAATGATGACTATGAATGAAGGAATATTATATGAATAAAATACAGGTGGTTATTTACTTATTTATGAAATAATATAAAGAATGTAGGAAAAATGAAAATGATATTTAAATTTTGGATTTAAAATTTTTTGAAAGAAAAAAGAAATGGATAAAAATAATTGAGTTAATTAATGTTTATTTTTATTATTTTCTAAAATAATTTTAAGTAATACACACGTTGTTTCAATTTAAAACTGATTTTGGTTCTTTTTAAAAAATTTTTTTGAAAGTTCATTATTTGTATTATTTACTGTAATGTGTTAGTAGTATATTAGTATTAGTGTTTATTTATTGTGAATTGTATGATGTATATCTGGCATGTGTGAGATGTGAGATGTGTGACGACTAAGTTAGTACGTCATAATTCTGAAATTTCTCCCCTAAAAAAAGAAATTTCAAAATTAAATATTTCAATCTTCCCAAGTCCAAAGGTTATAAATAAAAGACCAAGTCGTCGTGCTCATTGTCCAAGTCCAAGGTCTAAGCGTATCCATCAAACATGCAGATTGTCCGCGTCAATCAAAAAATCTAAACACAAATTTAGAAATTCAATCACAGCCACCAATACGGGGGAAGCCTCCAAAAAATAGTCACACGCTGTGCAATTGGAAGAGCGATGCTTTTCTTTTAAGACAGATTATAATATTTAACAAACAATCAAAATAATGATTAAAAAAGATCAATCAATAATAATTCGGGTTAATTGGTCTTGTTTTTAGAATAGCAGCTACAGTGTGATAACAAACTGTAAAATTGGACGTGATTTCACGTAATTACAAGTTTAATAAAACAAATGAATTATGTAATTATTATTTTTATCTTTGACATTATATATATACTAACGATAATGCATAAAAGATTTTTTTATGCGTACATATATATATCCTTCATATTTCTTTAAAGTATTATTTAAATACCCAAAGACTCTTTTTATTTTTATTTTTATTCTTTAGCCTTTACCTCTTTTCATATTATTTAATGATCTAATCCATTCATATCAATATTAATTCCAATACACACCAAAAGGAGTAAATACACAATTTAAAATTGGTGATTTTATTCAACCAATTACAAGAAGAAATCAAATTTTGGATGTTCAAGCATTGCAAGTAGCCGAATTGGTCAACGTCTATGATAATGAACCTTCCTCTTAGATAAACGCTCACTTTTACAAAGCCTGTGATCTTGTTGAATGAAATGAATGAACAAGTTGCTAATGTTAATTCATTCAATGTATAAAGCATTTAATACTACTACAACTTTGTTGATTAAATAATTAAAAAATTTTTCTAAATAAATTACATTTTATTATTATTTTTGCTAAAAAAAATTTGGTTAAAAAATAATTTATTATATAAAAACAAAAATGTACCAAAAATATAAATTTATTTAAAAAAAAACAAATGAATAAAATTTTTCAATTTCTTCCAATAAAATAATATGAATTATCATATCATCTGACATTATTATTATTATTAGTACAGCTTTGATGTTGTTTTATCTACAAAATTATTAATTAATTATGAGATGGTATTATTTTTAGTCCAATATTCTTTACGAACTTCAAACAGTGATGGTTTATAACTTTCTGATTTAACAATAGACAAATTCTTGAACGCATTTCCATGTGGTCGTGAACTTTTTGGAATTCTACCATCAAAATCCAATATTTCTTTCTCTAAACTTGTTGGTCTCTGAACATCTTCAATCACTCTGAAATTCTTGCCTTTACCAAACTTTACAGCCATACATCCATTGTTTCTATTAACTCTCAACACCTAATAATACAAACTAATCAATGATTTTTTTTTTTTTTTTTGAGTGGAAGAAATGAAAATATAATAAATATCCAAATTACTTATTTACCTCAAGTTCTGTTGTAACAGTAATATCAAGTTTTGCAAAACTTCGTTTATATATCAATATATCACCTTCTTTGATGACCTTTGCTTTAACGAGATCTGGAAGTGTTATTTTGGCAGAATCTCCCGCTAATTGTACATTGCCAACACCTTCTTTTAGTATTTCTCCCCACATCTCTTCAAATGCATCGCTCTAACAATATATGTAGATGATGAATAAATATGATTATAACTATGACTGTATATATAGGCATATACACAACTTACCTTCCAGTGACTAGGAAGATTACACCTGAAATTTTCATATTCGTCCCATTGTTGATTTACTCCATACTTTGTATAATACCCATATTCAATGCTAAGTTGCCACCACCACCTGGCATCTTTCACATCATCTGACAACCAAAAATCAAACCGAGGTGTCACTTTCATTGGATCAATACCGGTAATTTGACCATGAATTCCTGCTTCATATAAAAATTCATCTTTGTATGTGCGTTCACGTTCTATATATGGTGTATCAATTGGTTCGCCTGTTATACTTGCAATTGGTACAATGTCTTCAATGGGAATTAACTTCATAATACGAATTTTTTGTTCATTTGTGAAACTATTAAAATTTTCTACATTTATAATTCTCTAAAATTAAATAATTAATCAATCAGAGTTATTTGAATTATTAATATCATCTCAACAATAATGACATAGAAATATAGACACACATACATATGCTCATATATATACACACACATATATATATACAAACAAATGCTCGTTAACACATACACCACACACATGTTTTCTGAAATATTTATTACCTTAATTGAAGCACATGAAGCAATTGATTCTGGTTTAGTGAATAAATCGGTTAAATATTTTATATCTTTTTTTGTCATCCATGGTTGTTTAGTAAAGAGTTTATCAAGATATTGATTATAATCAGGTTTTGGTCTTTTTATAAAAGAATTAGTAGCAGCAGCAGTAGTAGAAGATGAAGAGTGTGAGTAAGATGATAATGATGAACGGGAGGGAGAAGAGGATAAAGCTCTAAGTTCTTCCATTGATGAAAATATCTTAATTTTAGGAGTTTTTATTTTAGTTTCTAATATTTCAATAACAAATTGATCTTCTTCTAATGCATACTCTTTAAGTCTCAACTTGAGTTTTTCATTCATACTTAAATCACTTTCATCGATATTAGATGATGGTACCCGCATAATTCTTTCTTTTGCAGCTTCTTTTATCTTACGTTCATATCTTGTTTTTATTTTTTTGTAAATATAAAGATTTCTTTTTTCGTATTGAAGCAATTCTTCTTCACCATCTTTTCTACCTTCTGTATTATTTCCCAATTCTCTATTATCAATGATTTCAGATTGTTGGATCCTATATATTGTTTTGGCAGATTGCCTTGCTTTTTTCTCTTCTAACAATTGTTGTAACCATTCTTTTCCTACTTTGTATTCAGGTTGATCTTGTATCGATTTATTTGACAGGTCGTTTTTAAATTCACTATTATTATTATTATTACTGTTACCGATATCATTATTACTAGTTCTAACTTTTGATCTTATACGTTTATTATTATAAGCTTTCTTATCTTGTTTTGACTCTTGGTTTGCTATTTTTTTTCTTTTCAACCTTTTTGATTTCTTTGAAGTTTTTTCTTCTTGCTCAGTTTTATCAATTTCCATATCCTCTTCCTGGTCCTCTTCCGCCTCATCATCATCAACATCAACTCCCATATCTTGATCAATAACAAGATTAGAAGTATTGATGCCTTTACTTGTACCAGCAATAGTTGCTCCTTCTCCCCCTCCTTCTTTTTCTTTTTCTTCTTGCTGTAGAGAGCTTTTAGACTCGTATTCTTTTTTAGAAGCTAGAATTGCTTCTCTAAGTTGAGCTTCTTCGTATTCATTTAATGAATCGTCAGAATAGTCAGCAGACTGACTAGTAGCAGAGGTGGTTTTATTGGTCTTTCTTTTTAAAATACTTTTTTTTCCTTTAGATTTTTTTGGCATATTTTTTTTTGGTTTTTACTTCTTTGGCTTCGTTAAAATTCTACGGAATGAAATAAATTTATCAACGATTTTTATTGGTTAACTTAAATTACAAACCACCCTTAGACATAATAAGACACATTTAGGGATGCTCTCATTATGTAATTTACTTTAAACGATCTAAGCTTTATATGTTCGCGGTTCTTGTTTTTATTCCTATTGATTATTATTATTATTATTCCTATTGATTATTATTATTATTATTCCTAATTGATTATAATTATTATTATTATTATTGACAAACAATATTTTTTATCAATTAAATTGATCAATCAACCGATTATTTATTAAATATTTATCGTATTATTTTTAGACTTTTCCCAGCACAAAGTAAATAATTTTCTGATTGTTTTTCTTTCTTAATATCAAAAATATTATGACACGGAGTCGGCCCATCCAACAAAAGACCGCAATATGTCACAAGCAGATAAAACATCACTCTAGAAAAAAAATAATAATAATTAGAAATTAATATCAAACAAGGTATCGTAAAAAAGCAAAAAATCAATTAATTAGAAAGTTTTAGTTGTAGTATGTAGTAGTTGTATCTTGTTTCGTGCGTGACATACAGTCAAAAAAAAAATTTTTTTTTGATTTTCGATGCAAAACAAGATTTTTTTTTTTTTTTTTTTTTTTTACAAGAAAAGACGAATATTTATTCATTGAATTTATTTTACAAAAAAAAGATTTAAGCCATTCTGGGATGAATTCATTGAATCAAAAACACTAGTAAATCACTGTGCCAAGTCAATGGGATGACGCTTTAAAAAGACTAGCTCTTGGGTCATGGGTTATAAGTTGATTAAATGCCTTATGATTTAAATCATATTCCTTTTTTACCAGAAGAGTTTTAATTTCACCCTAGGCTTTTGAAAAATCTCTTCTGGCTAAACAACATTAAAATAGATCAGTAATGTTTAGTGCAGTTAATGTTGATATAGAAAATGGAAAATAAACAATATTTAGGTGAAGATTATATCAATAAATCTAAAAATTCACATTCATTGACCCTGATCTTGGAGAAGCAGCAATAATTGACCTGTTAAATAATAATAAAGCTGCAATAAAAGAAGGAACTTTCCATTGAAATTTAGCAGTCGGGTCAATAGATTGGGATGGGGAAGAATGAGAGGTGTGACTACTCCCATTCATTCCCCAAAAGTGTTATAGAAAAATACCCAAAATAAAGGCTGATAACCAAAATCCTAAATTTTCAGTGATTGAGGAGAATTGAGGTGCCGTATCATTTCTCTTGATCCGGGAGCGAGAGCTTTCATGACTGGGTATAACCCAAGTAATTAGGTTATAGAATGGACTAAACCCACTAATGCTTGCATGTTTAATTAATTCTGTGTAATAGAACATAGTAATACAAGGTTACTATTATTATCACATACGCTTGTTTTTTTCTAAAAATTAATACCGGATAGAGATACACACGATTGTTAAATGATTAATAAATAGCTAATTAATTGTTAATTTGAATGACAGTATATGACATAATATAATTTATTATTTAAAAATAATAGGAAAAAGAGTTATATTCCACATGGAAAAAAAAAGTATAATAATGTCATACTCACAATTGTTTACCTATAATAAATAATCCCCGAGGTAAAAAAACAGTTTGTACTATAAGAGTATTTTTCTTTTTTAAGTTTAAACTAGACTTTTTATTTTTGTTATGTTTTTTTATTTTATTTTTTTTTCAT